ATGTACAAAGTTGATACTTTATTTTTTGAACTGACAAAATGTTATTCTATTAAGCCTCTGAATTGATGGACTTCGTTTAATTTTAAAAGAAAATACAATAAATGATAACCATTTCAATCATTTTCACCAGTGATAAATAGGTTCGATTTACAGGTTTGGTAGAATTTATTCAATTAATAACATGATGCCGGCCTTATTTAATTTATCGTATTTTCTCATTGTTAGAGAATTGTTATGAAAGTGCGTGACCACGTCATTTGATATGCTTGAACTATTACGAGTTTACTTTAGTCAGTAAACGTGAACAAGACAATGATCCAGTGACACGATAGGCTACTCTAATCCGAGTGTCCCAAACCCCCATTAAAAGAAGAAGACTTGATGTGAAGTAGAATCTGTATTCTACAAGCATCCAGAATGTACGAATTCTGAGTCCAGAAGAGGTAAAGGATCCCGGACTAAAGATTCGGGTCATAAAGTGTTACAGATAATGAATATTTGAACAGGAAACAACATTGAAGTATATGACACTGATAGTTAGGACCACCAATAGGCGACATCATATGAAGTGACATTGATAGTTAGAACGACCAATAGGAATCGACTAATAGAATTAGACTTACTGAAAATCCTCTTAGGATATTCGGTGAATACCCAAACATGAGTATTAATAGACATTTTGTAAAATATGTGAATTTACGAGGCTAAACCTTTCGATACAACATTTAAATAAAACCGATTTCTAAATCTATTTGCTATTGCAAAATTATTGTTTTATTCAATAACTCTCAGTTGTAATTAATTCTTCTGTGGTCTCTAATTAAAAGAAAATGTTTCTCTATAAATTCTGACTGTCCCCTGTAGGTAATGAATATGGTGAAAGCGGATAGAAATAGTCTTTTCTACTGTATGCCGGATGAAGTTGAAAACTGTTAGCTTAGTAAAGAAACAAGGTCTTGTATGCATACATACTTAATGAAGTTACATATGTTTATGTATTTCTCATGCTACTGAACAACAGACATACCTGTGCTCATTAGATGTCTAATTTAAATTGCTTCTTAAAATAGAACTTGGTCTGTTTTTAAAACAATTGAATATTTTGACATTTTTTGAACTGGTACTTGCATAGTATATTCTCTTAATGTATATATTTATAGGTAGAGAGAGAGTAAAACTTAAGTGTATACATTTTTAATCAACTGTTTTGAAAAGTAAAAAATTAACAACTGATTAAAATGTAGAAATGGTTTTTACACCGAATACTGTCCGTTATACTGTTATGTCAGGTGGGAATATGCACACAAACTTTATTTGTTGTATGTGCTTGAAGAGAGGTGGAGTTGTTATTCCGGTCGATTAGTTTTACCTGAAATAATCTTGAATTATTTCACTTCCAACTGTTTTGTTCATATTTCCTAGAGGATTTCGCTCCTTGCTTGGGATTCAGTTTTCATTTATATTTTACTCACCTAAAATTTAACTGTCACAAAAAATAAAAATGCTACATTAATTCGAAATTCCGAATGTTAATCTATCTGAACTAATTTTCTAAGTTGATGCTGATATCGTTATCTTTGCAAAACTCACGTTATACGCAAGTTTTACAAACTTTCCTGTCCAGGATTCCATTTCTAGTAGCATCATCAAAAAAAAATTGTACCCACCATTTCTAACTTGTATGATACAAGTGGGCAGCCGAACCGATAAGCCAGAAGTAATTTCGGTAACGGAAGAGTGACAATCATCCATCACTCGGTCAATGAAGCATAAATTTGAATTCACATGCTCGGATAGAATTTAATTGTTGTGAAGTGAGTGTTTATTGGAAAAAATATTTTAATATCTCTTTTTAATAAGTAAAAAGCTAATTGAGACGTAATTAGCTTTCAATATAAAAACTAGACTGCATTAAAATAAATGACAAGTTTGTAGTGCTAGAAAAAACGTCTATTAATTCAAATGTTCATACGATTTAAGTGTTCAAGAAAATTCACTAATCGTTAGAGTAAATTTTACTTGTAGTGAAATATTTTAAATATACATTTATATATTTATTCATGAATGTTTTTTTATGGATTCGCATATTAAATAAAAAAATATGAGCTTCCTACTTTAATAGCAAAGTACATGATCCATCGATCGTTATACATGCTACTTTGTTTGATACAAGCAAGGACCATGAAAATTTCATTTAACAAAGTGTGATGTCAAAATATCTTATCCTTTTCAAAGTAATTCACAATTACGGTGACGCTGCAGTAAAAATTCAGTTTTCACTGTTCTGTAAGTTGGCCACTTCAGCTATCTTCTCCTCTCTTCAGGAACTTTGCTCAGGTATCAGAAACTCTACTCGTGTACACTAATATTTCCAATCCATTTCAAGTCACAATCAAAGTACTGAGATACAGATCGAAAAGAACAAAAGTAAACAAAACTGACCTTCAGCCACCGTTTCAATTCGCCGAGATCTTATTCAAATACACGATTCATTAATAAAACTGTTTACAGCGAAGAAATGCTACATGCTAGTTATCTGAATAAAACCAATTTTATTTTACGAAAAATCTTAAACTTATGTTATCTAGTAACAGAATATTTATTGGCAATAAACTCAATAATTACGATGAATATTTAATCTGGTCTTCTGACTGTAGATACTATTGAGAATTGTTAAAAGTGAAACATTTTGTTAATCAGTGTACTTTCTACTCCTTTTTATAAAAAGTTCAAATTGTGGGATGAAAAGAAAGAGAGAAAAAACGTCTTCCAAAGTTATATTTACATATTACATTCTGTAACAGCTGAATGTAAGTGTACTATTTTCTTATTTCGTTTCATTGATCATTTCTACCTATTGTTTGTGATCTACATAAATATTGTTTAAATGGTTGAGATTGTGTGGGATCTTCCTTGTGAAAAAGCTCATTAAGTCATTATATCTATAATTTATTTAATCTGATTGCCTAAGCAGAAATAATGCATACTTTCAAAAAATTTGTCAATTTATTTTGTATTCGAAATGGGAATAACGTTCACATTTAGTTTAGAAATAAGACTCTTTGGAATAATTACATCAGCATTATAAGAATATGAATTGTGTCTGGTGTTGTGTGATATCGAAGCGAAAACGCGATATCAATTTACTCTCAGTTTTTTTATGTTCAAAGAATCCAGGCACTGTCTGGATGCAATAATAACTGTTTGGTTTAAAATGTTGACATAAGAAGATTGACTAATAATTTTCCTTTGTTGCCTGTCATCAATTTCTGTTTGCTTAACTAATTATATTGATTTATGAAATCTGTATTATTTTACGGTTCATATAATTCATTTATACAAATGAAATATTTCAAATACAGGGAAATACGGAATCTGAATCTGAACAATTCGAAATTTATATTCACAATGCTTTTGACTATTTTCATCCAATTTTTTTTCTGAATAATGATATACTTATTTAGCCCTAATTTATAGAGATTATGTGTTAAAGTCTATTTTGTTTGAAATTGTTTCAAAGAAACCGAAAGAATCATTTGGATTCCAAGTTTTTTTAATTTTCAGTTGTTTCTTTCAGCAAAAATTCAAACTATTTTATTGTTCATGATCATATTTTCTAACAAATGTTATCAGGAAAGAGGAAAATTTGCCGAATATTTTTTTTGAAGATTTCTGATTAACACAAAGAATATGAAATAACATAATATTTCATCGAAAGAATTTGTTTCTCACTTAGTATGTGGGAAAGCAATTCTTCAGTCACATCTAACATAGTTAGAAGGCATTCATATTGTTCTTTAGGATTACTTTAAAATACAGAGCAGTTTTGTAACATCAGTACATTAGAATAGACTGCATTTCACCTGTGATAATAAGGTTTACCGCTATGAGTTCAGCAAATGAACTAACAATTTATCGAAACGTTTCGATCCATGCTAAAAATCAATTTGTATTTAATCATATCAACAGTTAACATACAATTTGTTTCAAATTCATAACTTGCCTACAAATGATAACTGATAAAACATATTCAAAACTGCTTTCAGCTGTCAAATATCAGCATTAAACATCATGATTTATGAATAACATGGCTAATAGGCTCTATAAAATGCAACCAAATGTTTAATTTATCATAATTTTAGATGGGTGCTCTACAAACGTTTGTTACATTTGTTTTTTCCAGTACTGATAGAGTGATATTTCAATCCTCATAATAGGAGCAGTGAATTTGCCAAACAGAATAACGGCTCAGTTTTCATATCATGTTTATTTGTTGTGAATGTTCTGTTTTCATTATAAAAATGAATTACAAAAAGGTATGAAATAGTACTAGTCAAACGAAATTATGTTAGTCAATAACAACCATTTTTACATAAATGTCGTTGTTAAATACTGATTTTTACAGCTAAAAATATACTGTAAAACCAAACAAGCATCATAATTGGTGACAAATACTCAACCATAAAAAAGTTTCCTCTGAGATATACTAGACATACGGTTTAATAGAGAATGATGAAAAGCAATCTATGTCTGTTTATGATTGAAAACAATTAACATACTAGCTACATTTTCAGTCTCTCATTGGCATTAAAGAACCTTATTGAAATATATCTTCTGTAGTCGATGAAAAAAGAATACTGTTTTTAGCAAACTACCATGATTCCGACATGTGAGATAAAGTTTCAGTGATATACGATAATTGATGTAGTTTCACAAATTCATTATTGTCATTGGTAGTTCGGTAATTAATTGATAAGTCAAATTATTAAATTTTACAAAGTTTATTTAACTGCAGTTGCAAAATTATCATACAGAAATATAAACTCAAACCACTTGAAAAAAGTGCACATAATTTAAAAATCTTACAAAACAGAAGACTATACACAATAGTTTTTCTCCTAAAATTCTTACATTGATAAAATCTCGTTGTTTCTTTTTTTTGATGACCTACAAATATTGTAACATTTCCGATATAATTGGTTGAATTTCCCTACCTATGATTGGTCAATCGAAATAATATCAAAGTATGAAATATTTCCAATGTGGTTAAATATCAAGCAATAAGTGAATTTTATTTCTCTGAGTAAAACAGAATCGTTTATTCAAATTCACAATAAAAAAAACGAAAGGATAATGATTTAAATTGTCAGTAATAACAAATACATTATCTATTTATTGTAAAATTCAAGAAGTCACTTCAAACAGAACAACTAGCAGTAAACAGTAAGTAACCAAATTCTTTGTGAATATTGTGATAATAATTATTGTACATGGCCTACATTCTATGCTGTTTTACGAGAATATTTACCTATAAAATAAATGCAATATATATTTGAAATTATTTCAACAGAGAAGATAGATAGGGAGGTTACTTTTTATTTTGTAGGGATTTTTCAATGTTCAATAATAAATAGCTTTGTAAATGATCAATTATCACAATTCACTGTGAATGTTTTTTTAAGAATACATCAGACATTTTTGCATGGTATCAGATGAGCTTCTGTGATCGAAACTAATATATGCACTAACAGAAACTAGTCATTTGTTCATTGATGACATATTTTTCTGTAAGCCAACGTCAAGCATAAGCTAATGAATACATATATTAAATCATTAAAAAAATGTTAGTAGTTTGAGATTTTTATTAATGATCTTCATTGTCTTACGATCACCAGTGTATTGTTAAATAACTAAATAAACTAAATTGTTTACCAAGATATATTGAGTCTGTACGACTGAAAGGAAGTAGTAACAGTCCTTTGTTGAGAGATATTATCCTGCTGTCCATAACTACTGATGATGCTAAAACTTATATGGATTGTCTAATGTGGCGTTTATAGATATGTGTTTGTTAATACATACATCGTGAAAATAATTTGATCACTAGGATGAAGTCTTTAGACGTTTGTTTAACAAATGAAAAATGAATAAAATTCTTCACTTACAGATCACGTTATTCAATGATGATTGAAGACGTTGTCAAGTTCAGATTTCTTTATCTTCATTAAATAACCAACAGAATTAAGTTTTTCCTAAGTGTTTTAATTTTTCTCTGCAGTCCGAAATTATAATTGAAATTCACCTCTTCTAATCAATTCATGCATGAAGCTCTGACAATGTTTAAGCCTTCTTACATATCTGATTGGAAACTTGATTGAAAGTACCGGAAGTATACTTAGATAACTAACTGTATATATTTACTTCTAAAGCTCTTCGAAATATTTCTGACCTAAAACCGTTGTTTACACGGCGTTATACAGCAGGTGGTCAAGTTTATTTTTGAAGATAATCAGTATCTTTTACACATGATTTAACAGGCATTGATTGGTTTGAAAACTTTTCGCAATCAAAAATTGACCTCATATCAAAATGTTTTTCATGAATTGTAGAAACATTTAAGTGAACAGAAAACTTGTTTCTCTTATCGTTAGCTTAAATGTTGAATAATTTAACGGATTAAGTGATTGAATGGTATTTTTAAATATCAAGGTCATCATATAATTTTTAAATGTTTTAAATGTATAATTTTATGGTTTTAATATATTATTATAAATGAAAACGTTTTATATATATATGTATATATATACATACTTTGTATTCAACCTGATGATTTATTTCATCAGATAATCTTTCATTAAACTAATGAACTCATAGTTATTTTTAAAATTATTTTTCTCTACTCCAGAATTAAAAAAAATTATTGAGCTATGTGAGTTCATTATTTCTAACAGTAAGCCTAAACTACAGTCTTCATCTAAATACAAGATTTTCGGCTTTAATTTTTTTCTGAAAAAAGCCAATTAAGGTTCGTGGCTGGACGCAGAAAGATTCGATGTTCTGTCTTAGAAAATAGTTTTATTTAACGCTACATTTATAAAGTACATTCTTTTATTTTAACAAGAATTTAGAGGATTGATAAAACACTCACGTACTAATTATTATTTTTGCAATTATTGTTCTTATTTGAAGTTAAATTAGTGCTTTTTCTCAGAATTTATTTTTCTAGTTTCATTACTGAGAAGCAATAAAGTAGTCGCATATTTAGTTGGACAAATAAATCTTGCATCGTTATTCAGTGATTATCAATAGATATGCATGTATCTTTTATGTTTCGTTACGAGTATACGTTAATAAAAAAGTAACTAGTAAAATAATATAAGATGATTGAACATTTTGTGTAAAATGTATGTTTGATATGAAAAGGATTATAGTAAACGATAATATATATTCTCAATATATTTAAGTATTAATTCTTTATAAAAGTGTTAGTTAGAAACAACATTTACATTTAATTATTAGTATTGGTTGTTTAAATCTTTCGGTCGAGCTTTACAACTAGAATTAATTAGTTTTTTTGGCATATGCGCATCGTATTATATGAGACTTGTCAGCTGAATCCGCCGGCAGTTCAGCTTGAAAATGAATAAAATGTAAAACCCATCGTTCAGGTGGTGGCTATTTGGACTCAGTAGTTAAGTGTATAAGGCGATCACATTTTAAGAGTAAGGTATTGAGTTCAAGTCGTGGAGTGATCGTTAACTTTGAGATGCAGATACATCTAGCTGACGATTCCCACATAGGCGAAACACGCATCCTAGATTTCACTACTAGCCACTATTGACATCTGCTAATAAAGGATTTACATTAATTCTTTAAAAAGTAATGGGAAGTGTAATTGACTAAAATAAATGTAGTTTTTAGTTTTTTAAATCTATGAATAAATTCAAGCATAGCATATTGTTGCATGTAATGCACATAATAAATCTGTCTGTTAAAAAAATTAAATTTAAGCCTAATTGTTTGTTATCTGTCGGTCACAACAATCATGTATTTCTTGACAATGCAACTCTCTAAGAAATATTCGTCAATCATTTTTCTTTATTAATGTAAATGTATAAGCAGTAAATCAATTATTCTCAGACATTGAGGAATTCAGTTCCGAATATAAAAAGGAGCTTGTACTTAAGTATGTTTCCTCCTAAATAGTATAATTTTCAGGTAAACACTGATAAATATAAACGAACTGAATCTAATATAAACTGTTTACATGATTTAATACATTATTATTGTTCAGCTAGAGTTTGCATGTGAATCTATTCATGCGTACTAATGATTAAATCTAAATTATGATTAAATAAAAGTCCCATATTTCCTCAGCCCACCCAAACTCGCCAATTATTACCAACCAAAAATTGATCACCTCGCTAAAACGATTTGTTTTCTCCATGGTTCACTTTTCTATGTTAAAAATAAGACTGCATATGTCGTAAATGTAATTAGTATTGACTTTAATAGCTCTGTCGATAACTATCGAGACGTGCCAAATGCATAAGGACATTTTACTTTTGCACATTCAACTTGCAATTTCTTCTCAATCTACTTATCTAGTTATTTTGATTGTATTATGCCCAAAGCTAGATCAATTTTTTTTCAATAAAGTGACAAAACAGATCACTGACTAACTATCGATTTTGCTGCTTAGGTAATCATTATGTCACGTTTGTTGATTACTAATGATAAAACTAAAAATAAACTGTTAATGTAGAGTCATTTTATTGCAAAACTGAAATAACTTTTGTAGTGTTGTTACTACTCATTCAATTGAATACTTCTATGAAACGACAATACATTTCTCCCCAATTTTTCATGCATGACAAAACCGTTCTTACTCTTAAGCTGACACTTGTGATTTAAAAACTATATTTGTTCTGGTTTCAATGAAAACTTTAAGTTACGGCTTCATTTCTAGTAAAGTTATGCGAGGGCGAAATTGAGTCATATCAAAACTGCAATGAATCAGCAAGTATAAGCTGTTTCCTTGTCCACAATACTTTTCCAGCTAAAGTCAATCTACCTCATAGTTGAAACGGATTCACACAAGTTAACAAATGAAAAACACTTTCCGCAAAAGTTAAAAAGAATGACAAGTTTAAAGAGTTATTTTTCACACGTTATTATTGCCGCTCAATAGTACCATCAATAAAGCCTGTGTGGATAACAACAGCTACTGCGTAATAATTGTTCGCAAAGTAATTTGTAATCAAATTTAAATCTAATTTACTCGGTGATTTTATTACATTGTAACCATCATCAAGTGTCTATTGCCTGAGGACTTAAAATATTTTTTCAAAGGATGTTTTTTCATTTATCTTTAGACATTTCTCAGTAATCTCGTTTACTTTTTCTTTCTGAAATTGATTTAATAGGGATGCTTTTGTTTTTCTATTTGTTACAATGTGTTACAGTATGAAAATTCTATAAATTATTTATAGGCCTATGGAAAAATGAAAATATATTATAATTTTATTAGTCTTTTTTTTCGATTGCTTGTTGACTAATATATCTGTTTCGATTAACATCGACTCCTACTTAAATTAGTGCAAGCATAGATTGTTATGCTAATACTGAAGGTTTCTAGGTGATTGAAACATTTTCATAGTTTACTTTACGGACTGATCGAACTTGCGCAACTAATGGGAACCAGAATGCTCCGGGAATTTGGTTGGCCTTAGTGTGGCACTCATCAGCGAGGTGTATTTACCACTCTGCCATAGAGATCAAACCAAAGATCTTCAATCTCGCAAAACAAGCCAAAACTTAAGACCACTTATTTGAGACTCGATGAATCCGATAGTTTTCATATACAGACTAAAAAATATTACTCCCCTTAACATTTTATCCTAATTTTTACTAACTTTCATGACATCTTTCTTATTTGAAATTTTTATAACCATAGTCACAAATTTATTCTTATTAATATTATTATTAGTAGTATTATCAATGTCGTTATCAACGACAATGTCTAAGACATGACATTTCCATTTCATATCAGTTTTTCCCTTGATATTTATATCTACGAATCAAATTCTTCCACCTTAAGTGATATAATTCTCTTACCCTTGCTGATAAAATTATTTTAACTTTACAAATAACTTACATCTTTGGAATTTTTTTTAGTACTTATGACTGAACATGCACATACCGAAACCATTTTCAAATTTTCGTACAATAAAATAAACCAAACTAGTTGATTGAAAAGACACCTTTTTTATGATGAACAGTCACTTTTGATTCGGACAGTCTTAAATATTTCAAATACTAGATTCATTCAAAAAAAGCACATGATGTTATGGCAATGATGTTTTGACTATAAAGTAGGCTAAAATTTTGTTGTATCAATTAACGATTTGATTGGAAGATATATGAAATGATAAAAATGCTAA